GGCAAGTTAAGCATCTTTATCCCTATTTTCCTGATTAGGTTATTGAGGCTCAAAAAGTTTAAATAATTTGCCAGGGGCCATTTAGCTGGGAAGAAGCAAAGACAGGATCCAGAGCAGATCTGTCACTTCAGGTGTGATGCTCTTCACACTTTAACACAGCCATCCAGTCCCAGGTGGGCCACCACCTTGTGTCATTTCAGCAAGTCACCGTGTCAATTGCCTCATCTTCTGAATGGGGATAAACTGCTTATCTGGCCTATCCCCTTAAAAGAATCAAAGGGGCTGATGTGATGTGAAGCTATCTTGAAAAGAACAAAGAGCCATGCATGTGAACAGGAGTATTTTTGATGGGAGAAGTTGGGTAAGGGAAACAGTTTTCCAAGCTGGCAAAGCACTGAAACTCTTATCTGCTCACCATTCATCCTTACCCCTCTCCAACACTTGAAAAGGTAGAAGCCTCAGCTTGCCTGGGGTCAGGTCAGCTGGCTTTGCCTACAATTATTTCTCATGGGTCTGCTGATCACAATCCATCATCAGTTCCTGGGAGGGCTGCCTGCTTCCTCCCCCGGTATCTTGCGGACTTCAGGGCTGCTCACACTCTACTTCACCCTGGCATCATTTGCTCTGAACAGTACAGGAAGTCAACTGTGAGTTTCTAAGCCAAAGGCCACTGAAAAAAATGTTCCCTCAACCTTGAAGGGTACCCTCTGTGGATAAGAAAAAAAAACAAAACAAAACAAAGCAAACAAAAAGACAACTCTGTAAGGGACACTGCTCTGACCTGAAACTTTGAAAGACAGTCGAAACTTCCATTTGAGAACTCTAAGGGCCCACTAACTTGCACTCAGCCATCTGAGGTCACCAGTTTCCCCTAAACTTCATATTACCCTCACTTCGTATATCTAGGTGGGCATCAGAATCTAGTTCAAGGCGAAGTGAAAATGGAAATGAAAGCCCAGAGCAAAACAAGACTGTAGGTTGGCATCTATCCCTCATATCATGAAGTAGTACATTCTGTGGACACCTTGCCATTTCCTTTTCTGCATTTATCAAGTGTTAGGTTGATGAAAGTGTCTGCAGCCTGATGAAAAGTTTGAGAAATACCAGGGTTGCCTTTAGAAATAGTTCTAGAAGAATCTTAAAACTATGTTTATATGTATGATAGTAGTGTTCCTTCCTTAATCCTGGCCTCAACTATTTTAAGACACTCACCAGGTTTCACAATAGACCACAGAACAGGAGTGAAGTTGGATACTTGTTCCCCTCATTGCAGGAATCCAAGGACCAAGCACAGTGACATGCAGCAAGGGTTGCCCCTCTCCAGGGCAAGAGCAGCCCCTGTCCTCCCTACCCCCCACCAATAGACCTCTCCCACACAGCGGGTCCCTGAGTAAACTCAATAGCATCATCCCATTTTTTAAGGCACTGCTACTCCTGAAAATACTAATGTGTTAATAATAATTTACCCCATTCATCTGGCAAGGGCAGAACTGAAGCAACTTGAAATGCCATCAGCAAAAAATTATTTATTTCCCATTCCTGAGCAGCAGAGAAAACAAGGTTTCATTGGCTGGGTCTGCCTTCAATAGCTTTCTGGTTTCAATTAAAACTTCAAGTCTCCAAGGGAAAAACTGGCATTCTGGGAGGCTGAGGCCCAGCCAAGTTTCAGTGTCTCTGCAAGAATTGAGAAAGGACGTCCCATCCATCTAGCCACTTCTCATCTTCCTCCTTTTGCATATTACAGAGAAGCTTTGAAGCAGAGATTGAAGTATAACTAAAAATAATGACCGGTGAGAGAACTCTCCTAGAGGTACATTTTTGTGCCAGAGAAGTATTGATTCATCCCCTAATGGAATTGAAAGTCCAGATAACAGCAGAAAGGGAATCAGGAGTCCGAGGGAAATGCCTACTTATTTATTTCTTCTTTGGCAAACTCCTGTCTCCTGCCTCTCCCCACCTACTGTTCTCAACTAAATTCGACAAAGATTCCATGCACTGTTTTCTCTCTCCCAACCCTCGTTGAGGTCAGGTGATTTACAAAGTAGCTTGCTGTGAATAATGTGAGTACATGACCAGAAGCCCTGATCGCACCAAAGAGGCCCCCTTGGTTCACTCAGGGATACCCCTAGGATTCCCCTGTGTGAAGTCCAGATCTGGGCCTGCCCAGCAGCGCCTTCCTATGTAACATTATGATGTTAACGTACAAAAGATCGGATTACAGCCCTTCACTTGACTAGCCCATTTATGAACATATAAGGCAGTTGATATTTTCTCCCAAGCCAGAAGTGGCCCTTTCCTACCATACCGCTGCTTCTCAGCCACTCCCCTTTATGTTCACTACAAGCCCTCCCCTCCCCCACCTCCAGTTTGTTTATTCCAGTGACACGTCTATTTTCCCGGCTCTGGGAGACAAGTCCGTTTCCCTCCTCTGGCTCCTGATCACATTCCCTCACCACCTCCTCCCCCAGCCCAGCTCAGGTTACTAGAGTGGCTAGCTGCACCCACAGCCCAGCTTTTGCACCAATTCAACTTCCCAAGACAACGAATTTTTTTTTCTTACTGGGGGAGGGGAGATAAAGTGCAAAGCAGCACTTTCAGAATACCTGGTCTCCCTATCTTCTTAGGCTACCTTCCCTAAATTTGCAAATACTCTATGCTCAACCACACTCTTAGATCTGTCCTAACTCCCCGTCTCTGGTAGGAGGCAATCCCATTAAGTACAGAGGAAAGCAGAACATCTTCAACTTCACTCTGAAACCTTGGACAACCTTATCAGGGCAGGAGATCAAGCCTCCCTGCCGGAGTCTTGGGAGTCTTGGAACAGTGTAAGCCACAGAAAGGAGGAGAAAGGGGAGGGAATGACCAGGGATTGTAAACTGGCTACATTTTGAAGAGCTACAAACTTTCTCCTCCCTCAAACGCCCCTGGACAGTTTGGCCCCGCCTCCCCATCCCAGCCAGACAACATCTAACTGGGGTGAGCAAAGGAAACTCTCCCAGACGGTCCAGGTCTGGCCCCAGTGTTGCAGATGTGGCCTGCACAGAACAACACCCTTCCTCTCCACGCCCCTCTTCTCTACTCCACTCCCGTCTCCACCTCCAGAGACATACATGTTTGCAAATGAAGATGAGCGTGAATGGGGCAAATCAGATTTACCTGAGTGAACTCATGGAGGGTAAGAGGTGGGGCCCCAACAGCAAGATAGTTTTAGTGACAGCCACTTTATAAAACTAGTTTTTTGTATGCATCTGCGTGAAAAGAAAAAAAAAACAGGAAACAGAGTAAAGGAATGAAAAGGAAGAGAACAAAAAAATAATGTTAGAGAAAAACAAGTAGTATTAGATTTCCTTAAAGACCATGGACTCCAACCAAACTTTAGGGGAAAAGGTGTGGATAGTGGAAGGTAGGGGGTGGGGGCTTAGAAAGAAAAGTAGCTGTTGTAGAATTACAGAATAAATTGCCCTTTTGGAAGAGTTTCTGAGGCGATAAAGAGACACACAAATTGGCCTTTTAGCATTAGACGCCAACCATGAGATTATCAGGACAGTTTATTTGAAGCGGAAACGAATCGGAAATCCTTCCCTCAACAATCCTTTCAGATGGATATACACACCCTCAGAACCCACACAGATACACATAAAGAATAAATGCAGCATCAGGGGGCAATAAGAACCCCCTCCCCACAACTCCCCCAGTACCTCTAGCCTCATCTTCTACTTCCAATTGCACAACTTTCCGATCTCCAAAGAAAATACTCCCAGTTGGATCCAATTTCAGAATTGTTGTAAGCGTGTGGGTCAAGGGAGGAGGGGTGTTTGCAGCGTGCAGGGGAGGGGGACTGGAAGACAGCATTTAGGCAGTCACTTATTTTTTTAGAACCAGCATGCTCTACCGATCAGAAATTGCTATTACCCAGCAATGCTTCCATCACAAACAGACACCAAAAACAGCATCACCGTTATCACCATCTTGCTAAAGATCTGCCCAGTCCAGTTTACCTGACTTTGTCTCTGTGGAACTTCTCAGACAGTATTTTAGCCAAAGAGATAATGCTTTGAAAGACAAAAACAATAAATCGATACTGAAGGGCTCCCTTTCCGGAGTGATTTCCCACTGGAAACCACCGAACGGGGAAGCCTGTCGTTAATTCTCAAGCCCAGGGCTCCTCTAGAAACACACACAATGCGTGCTTTCAAAAAAAAAAAAAAAGAAGGCATTCGTCTGCTTTTAAGGGAATTCCTGGCTTTTCAGAGTCCCAAAACCGGAGAGCACGAGACAGAGACTCAGATTCATTGATTAAGATTTTAAGAGAAAGACTAACACAGAGCCACAACACAAGCACACACCAACCTTCGCCGGCTGGACCACTTCTTCCCTGTTCTTCTTTCTATTAACGACACGTTAGATTCTGATACATCTCCCCCCCCCCATATCCAACTAGGTTACAATGTAGCTCTGTAGCTCCACTTAACCTGCAAGTTACAAAGAGATCCCCCAAAATAATATATACATGTATATACCTATCCTGCTGCCTTCCCACCTCTTTCCCTACCCCCTCCCCCTCTCGAGTCCACTCCACCAACGCCAAACCCGCCAGCCCAGGCAGCCGGCGGCAGGACCGAGGGAGGGTGCAAAAGGCGGGGTGGGGGTGGGGGGGGGAATCAGATTAGGCGAAACTCAATAAGCTCCCAGCCCTCCAGCCCGACGCTTCCACTATCGCCGCCGCCAACGGGCCACTCCAAATGAGCCAGCATCGCTGCCCACCCGCGGGCGGGCCGGAATCGCGCCCATCCTCCGCAGCCTGGCGGGGACCGGCATCCCGCCCCCTCGGCCCCGTCTCCCCCTTCCCGCCCGGTGCAAAATCAAAGCCCCGGCGAGGCGACGTTAACTTTTGCATACAGGGCACACACACCGCCCCCAGCCCCGGGCGTGCGGGGGCCCGGGGCGCCGCAGGAGGCTGGGCGCCGTGCTCCCGGGCCAAGGTCGCCGCGCGTGCTCACCCATGTCCCGGCGGCTCCGGCTCCGCTGGCCCCGGTGCTCGCTCAGATCCCGGCTCCCGTCGCTCGCCCGAGCCCCCAAAGGTGCTGCTGCGGCAACTCCATGGCGATGAGCATCTGTCAAACCGCGAGCCGCGGGCGGGCCGCCCTCGCTCGGGGGGCGCCGGGGCCCCCGGGCGCGCGGAGGCGGCGGCGAGCGGCGGGCGCCCCGGCCGGCCCCGCGCTTCCCGCCCGGCGCGGCCGCCTCCGCCGCGCCACCGATTTATGGAGAGAGATATCAAGGGGGAAAATGGCGTCTCCGGAGCCCGAGGAGTCCTGGAGTAATCACATTCACACACACACACGCCCGCACGCACACACACTCGCACACACTCGCACACAGGCGCGCGGCGAGCCCGGCTAATTTTAGCAGGAGCCAAAAAAAAAAAAATTATATATATATATATATATATATATANATATATATATATCTATCTCGCAGTCTCTCCGATCAATGCTATTTTTTTTTTCCTTTTCTTCAAAGGATGGGTTGGAGCTTTAAAAAATGTTGCCGGGTTTGGGCTCGCAGGAGGCGGCGCGCGGAGGGCGAGGGCGCTTTTGCTGAGCTGTGCAGTTCGGTCCGCGGCGCCGGGCGGCCCTGCCCGCCCGCCGGTCCGCCCGCGGTCGCTAGTGCTGCCGCCGCCGCCGCCGCCGCCGCTCCATGGCCGCGCCCGCCCCGCGCCCCCGCCGCGTCCCCTCGCCGCCCGCCCGCGTCCCCGGCGAGCGCTGGAGTGGGGTCGGGCCCGTGTGCCTGCCTCCCGCGCCCTCTCCCGAGTCCCGGAGTCCTAGTGAAAGGAAGGGGGAGGGCGCGGGCGGGGGAGGGGGGAGGATCGGAGCGGCCGCGCGGCGAGCCGAGCGGGGACCGCCACCCCGCGATCTGCCTCGGAGGGGGCGCGGGCGCCCACACAGCTCGCCCCACGGGCCGGGGGCCGCTTCCCGGGCTCAAGCCGGGGGAGGCGCAGTCAGTAAGCGGCGAGCGACCTCTCCCTACACCCGTCCTCCTTCGGTGAATTTCGGTGAATTTCGATCAATTGGAGGGAGTGGGGTCTTGCTGGGGGAGGAGGAAAACAGTTCGGGGAGGCCGACCGGTGACCCCTCACCGCCCCTCGCGCCCCTCCCGCTCCCCAGCGCCCTCGCGGCCGGGTGGCTCCTGCGCGCCGGCGACAGACGCGGGGACTGGGCGGCAGCGGGGACCACCGCGGGCTCGGAGCGGGTTCCCGGGCTCAACACTGCCACTATCTGACACAACAGGAGCAGTGTTGGGGGGAGCAGCGCGACCAGGCGCGGGATGTGATAGGCTCTGGAACCCGGGTGCATTTTTTTTTTTAATCTGGCAATTACATTTCACTTGGAGGGTTTTTTAATTCTATTTTCTCCTATTCTATCGTATTTTATTATTTTTTTATTTTATCTTATTTTACTTTATTATTTTGTTAAGCAACATACTTGTACTCAGTTGCTGATGTTCATGTTTTCGTTATTCACAGAAATCGAACATCTGACGAAGGGAAAGACGCGGCGAGATGGTAAATGAATGTTGGCGTGTAAGTTCCGTCTTTAAGAGGGTGGTGGAAAGAAGAAGATGAAATATCTTCAGTCATACAAAATATGATGGGTTGCAAAAAGAGCTTTTCCAGCTTGCAACTGAGGAACAGAACTCCTCAGGGACACCTATGTTATAGGACAATATAGACACATAGGGTTCAGGAAGATTCGCAGGAGGTTTTTCTTAAAGACCTCCAGGTAGAGTGTACTCAGAACTCAGATTCTGGGAGGATTCTGACGACTCTCTTCTATACAAGAGTTTTTGAACATTTGGATTGAGGAATTGGTTTGGTAGTGACTGGGGATGTCCCCCTACCCTCCACATCAGCCAGCGAGCACCCCAGTCAGCTGCTGTTTTGTGTTTTGCTACAGAGGGTCTTCATTCTCATCACTCTGCTCACAGTAATGCTGCAATGAAGTGGGACAAGGGAGACTGACCTTGACTCCTGTCTTGGGCCATGTCCCTGGATGAGGTTCAGTCTGGTTCTGAAAAGATAGTTCACCTCCCTGGGACCCAAGTGCCCTTGCTGTCTTCCTTGTTTCAGAGGAAGGTTCTGATTGGCTCCAAACTTGTCCTCAGTTACTCATCTCAGCAAGACCTCTGTTGTGACAACATTTCAATAGGTCTTCAGCTACCCTTTATATTGGAATATTGTTATTGGTTGGCAAGTAAATGCTTAATTAGAAAAAAAATTCAGCTGGGCAAAATGAGCTGTTGATAGAAGTAGAAATCAAGGCACAAAATACAATGTCAAAACAACCCTTCTCTGTAATCAGATGACCTTTGCCCATTTCCTTGTGCACACAGGTTTCTGAAATCCTATACCAAATCTCAGAGGACTAAGACAGCATGTGGGCCATTTTCTACTTTCCATATGGAGGAAGTGAGCCCCAGAAATCAGAAGGGTTTGCCCATGAGCAAACTGGCTGGCTGGTATCCTCTGATCCAGAACTAAAGCTTATTTCCCAAGTCCCTGCCCTTCTCCAACCTAGGCATATTTGCAGGTCTTCCTTCCTTTATTGTGTTTCTTTGAGGAGCAACTCAAAGAAGCATTTGCATTATTAAAAATTCACTATAATAGATGTTAAGTTAAGTAAGTCTACAGAATTATATCACAGTAAAAGTTCGCCTGAGAAGTTCTTACCTGAGAATTCACCTGGGAGATCACCTAGTCAAACCTCATTATATAGAGCTGAGAAAACAGAGATAGAGATGCTATAGACTGTCCAGAGTCACTAAGTTAAGCCAAAACCATGAATAGAATCTAGATCCCTTGACTTCTCATCCAATGTTCCTTCCTTGCATGTAGCTCATCTTTTCAATCCTGTGAGGTGAGAAGAAAGGGAGGGAAAGGGACCCCTCTTGCTCTTTGTTTTATATATTAATATATAAAATACACATACATATAGACATATATACATTCATGTATATATACATCTACACATAATATGTATTACATATATTTTGGATATATTTTCAATTTTTAGTATATACTGATAAAGGATTCCTAAAAATTAAACCCCCATCCCTGAATGATGTTAATCGATATAAAAGGACCTGTATTCAAATCCTGGCTAAATATCACAGCAATTCTTATCTTCTTTCCCTAGTAGGTCAGTTTTTGGTTATCTGAGAACTGGACCCTAAAACACAAAACTCTGAAGCTGGTAAAGAAGTCAGTGTGAAAAATACTACCATGCAATTTTAAGAAACCTATTACCAGGACCCCAGGATCCTGGAGAAAATAATGGGACATCTGACAGCTGATGGGCACACACACAACACATATCTCTTAGTTCTACACAGTCTCCAATGATAGCATCTTTCAGTTGCTCAGCAAATAATTATGTATCATGGACTATGCAGGACAAGATGGTAGCACAACTGGAGATTCCAATTCAGAATTCACAACCTAGTGGGGAAAATTGGCATGCTGGCTTCTAACTACAACTAATATAGGGAAATACCAAAAAGGAGACATTTACAAAGTTCATGGAGCACAGATACAGAAGTAGTAGGGTGAGGTCAGAAACCATATTTTCATCAGAATTGCTTCACATTTATTATCTATTATGTATATTATATATATTTATTATCTGCTATATACTCTCTCTCTCTACATATATATATATGTGGGGTATATTTATTATCTGCTATATACTCTCTCTCTCTACATATATATATATATATGTGTGTGTGTGTGCAAAGGAGAAAAGGAAATATATATATATATGGGGGTATATATATATATATATATCTAAATATATATATATTTCCTTTTCTCCTTTGCACACATATGCTTTTTTTTTTCCAGTAACTTGTTTTTCCAGCCAAAGATAAAACTGTTAAATTGAGCTGTGTCTTGCATGGACAATGTCAACAAATATGGGTAAGAATAAGGGTTCCTCTGATAGCACCAAATAGCTGACTTGTTGTTGCTTTGTGCTGTAGACATCCATATGCCTGGCCTGTAAAATAGCCATCATGAAACGCTCCCTTCCTAGGCCCCACATCAGAGATACTGCAAGGATCTGCAAGATGATCATCCATGACTTGAGAACCAGTTAAAGGGCATGCATGCAAGTAAGATATGGCTCAAAGTACAAGAGTAGATTATGTCATTTTCACCACTCTGAAGCTAAAGATAGAAAGAAGCACCAAACCCATCCATTCTTCCTTTATAAGAAGTTGAGATCAGAAAATATAATCACATGCTCAGAGCCAGTCACCTCTACTTTTGGGGTTCATATAGAGTACTGAGTATTACCTTTTTTTGGAAAATGAGGTAATATTATCTAATGTTGTGCTTCTCAACACTTATTGTGAATCGTAATTACTTAGGAGAATTAATACTTGGGACACATGTTGATTTAACTGTTCTTGATAATAAATGCACCAGATGCTTCTAATATGCAACCAGCTTTGAGAATCACTGATCCAATAGAAAGGTCATGTCCCAAAATATGATCAGGATACTTAGAAAGCTCCTAACCTCTTAAGTTAGGTACGTGAATAGAAGGTGCATCTAACTAAAGGAGGTAACTGTCACGATGAACTGCAGACTGATTGGGCCATATTTGGAGTTTGGGGGCAATCCTGGAAACGTAGAGGCTGGAAGTATGTTTGAGGATTAAGCCAGTTATAGAATTTCTCCATATTTGATTCCCAGACATAAGAGAGTCCCAGAAGGACAGTGAGAACATATTGGGAGCAATTGAAGTAGAACATGAAAGGTGTCCTTAAATGTAAGGCAGGTTCAGGAAAAATAGGAATTAGTTTGCTTGACTCTGCTCTGGAGGGTATAACAGCCTCAATCAGTTCATGTAATGAGGAGGCAGATCTCAGCTCAATATAATAAAATACTCTGTGATTGGATCTATGATGAGAATAGATCATCTTAAATAGTGATGAACTTCCTGTGATGAGAAATATTCTAGAAGACATTGCATGCCCTTATTTTTCACTTGCCTCC